AACAATATTTTGTCCGCATACATTCAATTACTCATTACCTTATTCCGTCACGTTGTGACCGTCTTTTATATACCAGACTACCCCCAATCTAGTAGTCTCCCGATAATTCACGAAGGTTCGAGAAGGACGTGGCGTGATACAAGTTACGTGACCTCGCTGACGCAACAATATATTTCCAACAGATGCTTATCTCCTTTCACAAAACAGCCCTCCCCAACCTGTGCTGCCCTCCACATGCAAAACTTTCATCTGGCACTGGCCTTGAGGCTCCCACCCAACATTACATGTTCACATGTGGTACAGCTGCAGTGCAGCATGCAACAATCCTCCACTAATAAGAGTGTGACACACCATCCTAACGTAGATGACCCCCTCCATACTGCAGAGCCCAATCATCACTTTGAGATTAAGCAAAAAAAGATGCATCAGAAGTGGGAGGATGGGGGGAAGTGTGAGAAGATGTAATTATTTATCGGAAATACATTTTCTGCTTAGGAAAATGTTAATTTCCAATAGGATACCTTAGCTCTGCTTACATAATAGCTACAATCCCACATTTAAAAGGCAGGGGGACTAGTGCAAAAGTTACATAGATGAGCACTTTTCAGAATGCACCCAAAGAAAACCCATGGAGTAAGATTTCCTAATGTATAGGGTCACACTCATGGGAGATCACACCACATACATCTCATGTATATTCTTCACAAATTGTAAAGATAACATCACGAAATTGGACATAAAATACGCCAGTTAGAGAGTTAAGAAATCTGTTTTGATGATGACTTAACCCAAGAATTGTCAGAGATGTATTAAGGTTAAGTCTTAATTAGACAACTCCTCATCCCAACTTGCAGAACAGAGCTCCTCCTTGAGCTTTCAACACATTGTATATCAATACAACAATAGGCCAGTCATGGAGCCAAGTTTATATATATAAATGGTTTGACTCTTCTTCCACTTAGTTTGGTAGGCCCTCAACAACTACCAGTTAAATAACCAATAATAAAGATGTTAAGAAATTTGTCTTGACCATTTTTTCAATCTGGAAAACTTGGGTCATGCTAATGTTTTTTTAGAATGATGCTCTACCAATTCAGCTATTAGGAATCTAGACTCAGCCAGATGTATCTACACATAATTGACAGGTAAGGCTAGTTTCTGTGACTGTTAGCTCTTACCATATTCGGAGAACAAAGTTCACTAATTGATTTTAAGTCCACTTCAGACTATTCCCCAATTTCACTATCACAATATCCCTCACTCAAAGTTGTCCTTGAACTTATGATGCTCAGTACAACCTTGAACATCAACACATTAAGTAGCAACATACCTCAGCTACCTTGGGTGCAAATACCATCATCAAGTAATATCACACAAATAACATTAAGCAAATGGCTGAGTCAAACATACAAAAGTCTATAAGATTCTCCTTTTAATTAGCACTAGTTTGTTTTCAGTGTATCACATATAAAAATAAAACATAATCTCATGTTCTCCTTATTATTGCATTATTGCAGAAAAACCAAAACCACAATTTTACCATTGAAGATAAAACTTACTGTCATAAAGTATTTCAAATTCTCTCTTTCCCATTTGTACTACAAATAAAAAAAAATTGCATTATTTTTGTTTAAGGTGTAAGTAGGAGATTAAATCAGTTTTTTCCATACTATATTTTCGTTTAATAATGACCTTATTTATTGATTTGTATTTCTAAGTGATTTGCAAACAAACAGATAATGAGAAAAATGACTAATAGTTTAGAATAGCTTTGAGTAATTATTTTAATGTTGAATCGTAATCAGTGCTGTATTTGTCCCCCAGTGGTACAGCGGTATGTCTGCGAACTTACAATGCTAGAATCCGGGTTTCGATACCCATGGTGGGCAGAGCACAGATAGCCCATTGTGTAGCTTTGTGCTTAATTACAAACAAACTGTGCTGTATTTAATGATGATTCTTTCAATACCCTACTTTGGTAATAATTTTGAAACTGCAACTCCAGATGTTACATTTGATGTCTTAAAAACTTGTAAATTGCTGCACTGGAAAACAACATCACATATATCCTTTTTCAACTAATTCAGTTGTTAGTGTTGCTGGTCAGTTGATGAATTTTCTATCTTAAGCAAATCTGTGGTAGAATAAATATCAGAATACAAAGAAGTTGTGGCAGACCTACTATACACTAATGGTTGTGTGTTGTGGTATGTCAGTTCATTTCTATAACTTTTCTGCCAGATTTTCAAGTTTTAATGTTTTGCAGAGTACAAGATGCAGACCTGGGCTTTGCATTAGTTGTAGATAGAAGAAATGACAAATGGAGTGCAGTGAAAACCATACTGCTCAAGATATCTGTGAGTTCAAATTTCCGCCCTCATTGATTGAATCAGGATTAATTTTTCTGAATCGGATAATTGTAAATATGCATTTTTTACATTATTTTCGCATTAAGTTTTAATGGGGTTTTAAAAAGATACTCTGTTGATATTATGTATTTGTATTATAATTTTCGTTATGGAGTAAACTATTGCTATGGAGTGATGTTGTATAGGTAGTTCATCAACCAGAGTCAGTTATTTATGTTAGTTAACAAATATTGGAATTTACTGGCAGTTAAGAAAAAACTGCATAATATGAAATAAAACTTTAATTTTTATTCTGTCTTTAAATGTTTTCGTAATTATATAATTGTTTAATGCAGCTGCTGTTATTTATTGAAGTTTATTATTGTACTTAATATGAAATTTCAATATTTCATCTCTCTTATGTTATTATATTGAAAGTAAGTTGTTTGTTAAAGTTCTGTTCTTGGAAGTGAGGGAGAAAGCACAGTTCAAAATGAAATAACTTGATACATATTAATATTCTGATTTAATATTTTTTTTAAATAAATGTCAACTCAAAATTTTTCTTCTAATCTACTTATATGATAATAAGTAAAAAGAAATGCACACAATTTTCTGACCTATAGATTAATGTTTTTTAAGTTTTAGTGAGTTTTATATGATAATACATTTTTACTTTTTTAGGGATTTTTTCCTGGTCTTATCCAGATCGTATTTGTTCTGCGACCTGTGGGTTTTTTCCAAAAAGCAATTTCAGAAGTCAGCAACAAATTTTTCAAAGAAGAATTCAAATTTAAGGTAGCAAGTTGAGTGTTTTAATCTAGCTGACTGTCCATTCCATATATCTGTCTTTCTTTGTTTTCAAAAACTTTTACATTCTTTATTATCCATTACATACTGTAAATGATCAAGATGGTTGTAAATAATCTACAATTTAAATCTGCAATAAAAAGCATGAAAAGTCAGTATTTGACTAACAAGTATTAAGCACAGATAAAGTTGTATAAAAGTATATGACAGAGGGCAGTTTGATTTGTTTAATATGCCATTTATATTCTCACACATTCAGCCATTTCAACATTTTAGAATAAAAAATATGCACATTTGAAACTTTTAAAAACATTTAACTAGTATTTCTATTAGAACATAATATAAAAATGGATGGTGCAAGGTCTTTAAGTTTATTAAGGTCATCCATAAATCTCCTAGGGGATAAGTTAGCATATTAGAAGAGTGCCTGGAGGGAAGAAAACAGACAGTTGTTACAAATGGATTACAGTCAAACTGAATTAATGTCACAAGTGGGGTACCTCAGGTCTCAGTCTTAGGACCGTTGCTCTTTTTTGATTTACATCAATGACATAGATGAAAGGATAGTCAATAAATAACTTAAATTTGCAGATGATATTAAGGTCTTGAGTGTTGCTAGCTGTGAAGAGGATGCTACTGATTTACAAAAGGATTTAGATAATTTAGTGAGTTGAGCAAATAAATGGCAGATAGGTTTTAAGTAGAATTTGGATGGTAATAATGTTAATAGTGTTATGAAGGAAAGGGATCTTGATGTAATAGTCAATCAGTCTCTAAAGCCATCCAAGCAGTGTGCTGTTGCTAGTAGTAGGGCATATAGGATTTTAGGTTGTATCTATAAAAATATTGAATACAAGTCAAAAGAGGTTATACTTTCATTGTACAGGTCACTGCTTAGGCCACATTTGGAATATTGTGTTCAGTCTTGGGCTCCTTATGTTAGGAAAGACATTGAATTGTTGGAAAGGGTTCAGAGAAGGGTTACTAGAATGGTGCCTGGGGTAGAGGGGTTTTCATACGAGGAGAGGCTAAAATCTCCCAAATTGTTTTCTCTTGAACAAGAACAGTTAGGGGGGATTTGATTGAGGTGTTTACGACTGCAAAGGGAATTTATAGTGTTGATGTATCATCTTTTTTATATTTAACAATGAGAATAGTAAGACTAGGGGACACAAATAAATTTTGGCAAGGTAGGAGTCATCTTCATCTAAGACAGTTTTATTTTCCTAACAGGGTGGTTGGCCTTTGGAATGGGTTGCCTTCAGATGTTGTAGAGGCAGTAAATTTAAATGAGTTTAAGAAAAAGCTTGATAAGTATGTGAATGAAAGGGCTGGGTTTAAAAAAATGTTTTTATTATATATATATTTTTTGCCCCCTAGTGGCACAGTGGTATGTATGTGGACTTACAACGCTAGAAACTGGGTTTTGATACCCGTGGTAGGCAGAGCACAGAAGCCCTTTGTGAGCTTTGTGCTCAACTACAAGCAAACTAATTTTTGTAATCTAATTTAATTTAGTTTGTATATTGTTCTAGAGTTATTTGTAAATTTATTTTAATTTGTTCAGGTAATCCTTTGACATATGGAATCACTGTGGTTTTTATTGATTGTGAAATATTGTTATTATTTGTTAGTTAATTTTTTGTTAGAAATTAACAATTTGGTATAAACTTGTTTAATAACAAGGTGTATATTATTACTGTATAACATCTGTGATTAGGGAAATTTGTCAATCTATCATCCAACTATGTAATCAATTGTTACAAGCACATTGGTTAAAATTTGACCAATGCACAAAAAACATAATAGTTATGTGTAGCAATTAATATAAAGTAGGCTTAAATATAATTCCCAAGTATCTCCAATTAGAACCACTTATGAAACATTCTTATTGCTGGGAAGTTATGTTACAATGTAGTTGACATGTCTTGCAGATCGAAATCTGTGATGACTGTCATTATGGTTTCAAAAACTTCTGATACCTGTACACCAATAAGAATCAGAGTGTGAAATGAAACAATATCTAAAGCAGATTATAATGAGATATAAATCCTGTACTATGAAGTAATAAAGGATATGAAAAAAAATTGAAAATGACACATTTCAATACTTAAAAAATTATAAGAACCATTAACAGACTGACAAGTAACTGAGAAATTCAGATATTATCTGTTGATGAAAGAGGAGCAGTTTTGATTTTATATAAAAGAAAATACATATGAAGCTAAAAGATTTATTAAATGATCCAACTGTCTATATCAAAAACTAACCAAGAATTCTACTGTGGTTTTGGAAAGGAAACTTAATAGGTTATTTTTAAATTTAAGATGAAAGAAAACTATCTTAGATAAATTTTGTGTTCAGCTAAGATCAACAACAGGTTATGTTTCTTGTCTATAGTGCCATCCAAAATTCCACAAAAAATATCCCATTATGACTGAATATTAGCTTTATTAATTAGCATACTTATAATCTTTCAAGACACCTTGTAGATTTATTATGTCTATTGAACAAAATAATAAGTAATAACTAGAATTCACACCAGTAATAACCATAGTGGTCTCATGTATTAAAGGATTATTTGAATAAATTAAAATACATTTAAACGAAAGTACTATTAGAACAGTATACTAATCCTCTAAAAATTTTAAGTAATATTTCAATTCACACTTGGTACTCATTGAGTTCTGATCTTGTCATTTGCGGCACTGCCCATTGACAGAGCTTTAAATGTGTTTCCTCAGTATTAGTGGTGTACAGCTAAATTTAGAAGTGAGGGGGCATCATGATTAACCCCTCCACAGAAGAACAGATAATCATCAGTTTTATTATTAAAGTGGCTACTATGTTTATTAATTATTGTAAGGTTGCAGTATATGCAAGGTCAGTAGAGTTTTAAGTTATCAATATTAATTTCATTGTGTGTAAGGCATTCCATATCAGAGACCTGATTAGAATTCCATCATTCCACATTTGAATGTATAAGAAAGAAGCATGGAGAATGATGTTGTTACGTCTCCGTTTGTTAATTGATTTTCCGTAACT